GCTTCGGCGGCTGCTGCTGCTGCTTCGGCTGCTGGCGTCCCCCCGTGACGCTGCCCTTAAAAGCACAGTCTCAGCTCAGCTGAATCCCATCTACCTATGCCCACACCCTATTCCAGGTGCCCGCCATCAGGCATGCATTCAGGACAAGGATCCTTCATCTATCCTGATGGCGGGAGGGCAGAAAAGCCTGACATTTTCTTTACCCTACAATGTGCCAGGCAGCACCATACTAAAAACATTATATGTAGCAACACATTTACTGGCGCAGAGTGATTAAGCAATGTGTCCAGAAACACACAGCTAGCGAATAGCAAAGCTAGGATGAAAAAGTGAAGCTCAGCAAGGTTAGGCAACTCCAAAGACACAAAGCTGTTAACCATGGAGGCAGCTGGCCATTATAAGGCTGTCTGTCCTCCACGCCTTTGGCCTGTGCTCCTTCCACTAGGTACCTTAGTGGTTCCACCTGCATGCACCAGGCCCAAGGTTAAATGCTATCCTACTGAAGCCTGGCAGAGGTGAGGGTATTGCCCAGAGCAACCTGAAGAGCACAGATGCCATTGAAACTGGCCAGATACCTAGATCCTGACATAAATTCTCCAGATTATTCAATGTTACCTGTTTTCTAAAATGCTTAAGGGCCAAACAAAACACGTACTGGATAATCAGTTTACAAACTTCTCTTATTAAGTAAGAGTCATAAGTCAGGGCCTCCCTGAAGAAACCTATGAAGCTGTCCGCAGCCTCTGCAGCATGAGTTCGATTCCCAGCCAAGGAGCAACCCACATGGTGCAGCAGACCTCTCCTGTATCGCCCGCTGCTCCCCTCAGAAGTGTATTTCAGTCAGTCTGCCTGTTCTGTTCCCCACTCTGTCTCTGGTGAATCCTCTCACCCTCCCGCACCTCTGGCCTGTACCCCAACTCTTGTATGCATGAATAAATAAATTTAAAAAAAAAGATTTATATACAAGCACTGAGTACAGTCAGAAGCGCAGGAGGGTGAGAGAATTCACCAGAGCTAGAGCAGGGGCCAGAACAGGCAGACTGACAAGTACACTGCTGGGGGAGCAGCCAGCGGGCGGCAGGAGAGATCTGTGCGCCATGTGGGACCCTCGCTGGGGGTCGGGGATCGAACTGGTGCTGCAGAGGCTGCAGGCAGCTTCTCAGCCCAGCGCTCAACTGCTGCGACACCAGGGAGGCCCAATAAATAAATCTTTAAAAAAAAAAGTCGTAAGTCAAAGATGAACTGTCTCATGTCCCAAATTGTTAGAAATCACGGCTGCTCATCAGGCTTACTCACAAATCCTTTCAACAAGGATTTGCACTGGACTTGCCTGACCCTCTTCACTCTGGATGTGCAGTCATAAAGTATCTACTCAAGTTCTAGAAACTGCATGGCAAACTTTGCCTAAGATTCCTTCCAATATCTTTCCGTTTTCTTAAAGTTATCACACCATGAAGGCAGCAAAATAAAGTCCCAAGTCCTAGTCTTTAACCATTAAACTAAAATTCATTCAGAAGAAAATTCTGCTGTGGTCTTGAACACTGGCTTTGAGGGATCCCTGGTATTGTCCGCCCTCAAGAACTCGGCTCAGGACAGCACAGTTCATTTCCCGGTGTCCTTTAATCAGCCAGGGAAGCTTGAGGAAATGAGTCAAAATCCTCAGGTCAACTTCTGGCTGTCAACAACAGCAACAAAATCCATCAGCCCAACATCTGTACATAAACACACTCCAAGGGAAGCCCACGATATACTTGGCACATTCCTACAAGAATTTGTTTGGGGGAGAAGAAAGGTTTGCGTGGTTAACTGTCATTATAGCTCATCCAGCTCGGGGAGGGTAAATGGCCAATTGTATTTCCCACTATTGGGGGTGGGGATGTTCTCTTTCACAAGCATGCCGCAAGTATCTAGTGATGCTAAGACCCATTTTTATCTTATGGAGTGGGGGATGGACAGTTGAATTTAGAACTGGCTTATCTTTATTTCTGAGGAACTAACTGGAATGGCACAGCTAACACCTAAAGCCTTCCACCACAAGGTCAAGTGCCTCTGCACCTCCAGGGAAGGTGTAATTTAATGACTCTCCTCAGTAACTACTTACCTCAAATTGAGAACACTCTAACTCAGATATCACAAGGCAAGCAAGGTTAGGTTTTGGTTTATTTTTTTTCTCACCCAAATAGCTATGTTCTATTCCCAAAACTTCCTACCATACCTGGCATATATTATGCATTCACTAAACATTTCCAAACGAATCTCCCTTTACAAGCAATTTTGCCAAATCGTGTGAATGGATATACAGTTGGGCATGTGGGGGCCAATGCCAGGCTTCACCACGGATTATTTTGGGAAAGTAACTTACTCTTAGTAGTTTCTCCAGCTATAAAATGGTAGGAATGAACCATAGTAACAATACTACCAAGGCCTGTTGAAAGGACTGGAAATAATGAGGCTGAGACCCCATCCTGGTGCAATTTCCAGGAAAGCGAAACGACAATGTACAACACACATAATATGAAATTTTAGGCATGTTAGCAAACGTGGTGATAGCACAGCATGCATGACTTACAAAGACTGAGAATGACAAATATGTGGAGGGGTGGGAAAATCAGAATGGCTATCAAGGAATTATCTTGGCTCTTTTATAAGACCATCATATTTCCAACAGGATAATCCAGAATGTTGTGTCCAGCTGCTGAGGATGACTCTAGCCTCACACTTGCAGGAATACGGGGAATGTATGATTCACTATTCCTTGTAAGTTCATCCTGCTGGGCACAGAAGTTGTAAACACTGGGGGGGTAAGGGGGAGGGAGAGGAAGGTGTCCCTGAAGAACTGGCACCTCCTAGTTCTCAAAAGGAAAATTGTAGGTGAAATTATGTGGATGGAGAAGAAGGCGGTGGCATAAACCATATGTCCATGCTTTGGCAAGGGCAGACCAGTGAGATATGAGCACGGAGGACAGTGGACAGAAACTGAGAAAATGTTCAGAAAAAGTATAGTTTGCACTCCGAACTCAAAAAGAGGAAAATTTTGGACCCAAGGAATCCTTCAAAAGACAGCTGCCTAATTTTCCTCTTAAGGAAATAGGGCTCCCCCATATTTAAGTGACTGCCCAAGGACACACAGCTAATCAATGGCTGAGAAAGGAAGACCGAGGAGGGCAGGACAAGGTGCTGTCAGTCACTACACCACACTTCCCCCCCAGGAGCCAGACCTTAAAATTCCCTTTGCTAGAAATTTACTGGATGGAGCAGAATAATCATGATGATAAAGAAGTGATTGATTCATTTCTTTCTTAAAAAGGGAAATAGTGTGCTCTCTGCCCAGGTGGGTTGACATACCTTAACTGAAATTAAAAACCAAAACCGCCAAGTAGGTACCAAAGGTGTCACTGAAGCTCAGTCAAATCCCACAAGGAATTTGACACTCACCAGGGTCCAGAAGCAAGGCCTCCTGCTGCCCCCCAGCCCCCCCCCCCAAACAGGAAAGCCCTCACAATACCTTCGGAGACCCGGAGGGGGGTGGCTGCCCTCTTGAGACTTTCGGTGAAAACTGACCACTTGTCCTAAGTCCCACAATAGTTCACCTCGGTGCTTCCTTTCCAGACCTTGAAATCCAATTCGGATTCACTTTCTATCCTTACATCATCAGGAAGCCCCTCAAAGGGGTTGTGTGTGTGTGTGTGTGTGTGTGTGTTAAAAGCACGGGCGAGAGCGGGGCTTTAGGACTTCGCGGGGTGACCCGCACACGCTCAAGAAGGGGTAGGAAACTGACCGAGAGGGCCCAGAAGTCTGCAAATCCTCCCCCCAAGACCCAAGTTCCCGCGCAGATAGAACAGGATTTTCACAACTGCTTAAATATCCAAGAAAGAGCTGCAGAAAGTTCCACCACTCCTATCACCCCCGACCTCGGCAGCCAAGTACAGAGATCTCACCAGCGGGAGTGGGGTGTTGTGGATTTCAAAATACCCAAAGATAGAGAGGGACCTGGGATTACAGGTCCTTGGCACCGATTCGAAGGGTCTGCAGACCCCTGACGGCCTAGCGGGGCATCCAGGCTGCGCGCAGGAGGTGCCGGGGTCGGGGACCTCAAAGTCCCAGCGCGCGGTGCCTGCGCCCCCCGGGGAGCAAGCGGCCAACGCAGGCACCAGCCGCTCGGAGGCGCGTGGCAGGAAAGAAACAGCACCTCGGCGGAGGGGCGAGCCTCTGGCACGGGATTTACAAAAGCAAAAAGTCTGCAACCTAGCGGCCGCTTTCCACACGCCTTGGCCAAGTTGTTCTGTCGCCACCACCTCCAGGTTTGGGGGTCCAGCCCCAGAGCCGCACGCCGTGGCTCTGCATGGAAAAGCATAACCAGGGGAGCTGGGGGAGCCGCAGCCTTTGACTCCAGCCACGGATGGCGCCTCGAGCAGAGACGGCAGCGGGTCAGTCCCCAGCTCAGGGGCACAAAGAGCGGCCGCGGTTGCAAAGCAGCAACCGCAGAGCAAAGAAAAGGCTCTCCAACTTTACCCTCCGCGCGCCGAGCCCCGGTGCGCGGGTCCTCCGGGGTGTCGGTCACACGAGCGCAACTTTTAACAAAAGGCAGCAGCGGCCGAGCTTCCCACGGCCGAGCTTCCCAGATAACGCTCCGGTTGCTAAACCCCGATCGCCGCCTCTGCCCGCAGGCACCCTCTGCAAAAGCAACCCCAAACTCGCAGGCAACCCGGCACCCGCAGCCTGCGTCTTGCTCACGCCTAAGATCCTCCACTGCCCTCACCCCGAGAAGACCCCTAGCTCAGCGCCCTCCACCCCGAAATAGCAGCCGGGGGCTCCTGGCGCAGGTGAGCCGGGCAGGGCGCACGAGGGTCGCGGGGACGCCTCGAATCTTCCCGGAGGCTGAAACGCACGGGCGCGGGAGGCCAGCACCACCGCTCCCGACACACCCCGGCGTGTGCGAGCCCGCGGGGACACAGGCTGCACCCGGGAGCGCGGCCCGAGCGCCCGTCACGCTCTCCCACCTGTCTGGACGCCGAGCAGGAGGCGCAGGAGGAGCAGGACGCCGAGAAAATCCCAGGCGCCGCGAGCGCCTCTCATCGCGGTGGCTGCGCTGAGATCCGAGCTCCGTTCCACGTTCCAGCTTTCGCCCAAGTGCACCGCGCGCGGCAAAGCCGAGCCCCCAGAGCCGCGAGCGCCGAGCAGCAGCCCCTCCTCCCAGCGCCCTCCCCCTGCGCGCCGGCCACGCCCCTTCTCGGCGCCCCTCCACGCCTCCCCTCTCCCTCCCCCGCCCGGGTCTCGCTCCCTGCGGGCGGCGTCTGACCCCTGCTCCTTCGACGGCCTAATCCCGGGGCTGCGGAGCCTGCAGGGAAGGGGGGGGGCTCGCCGACCCTCGCCCGCAGCTCGCGACCCCGGAGCTCCTGCACCTCTCCACCGCTTCTCCCCGGTGGGGTGGTGGGTTCGCCGGGGGCGGCTCCGGGACGAGGGTGGTGCTGCCCGCGCGCTTTGTGGAGCCGGGCACCCGCGCACACTAGGGCACGGGCCCGCCACCTGGCAGGTGCTCCCAGACAATGAAGGTCCGCCGCCCGCTCCGCGAGCACGCCCGCGGGGGAGCAGGCTGGACCCCGCGGTGGTGGAGGACGTGGGGGGACGGAAAGTTGGGGGACGGAGGGCTAGGAATTGGACCCTGACGTTCTTCTCCATTCTTGTTAGTTGAGGGGGACCCAGCTGGCGCCGCGGTAAAAGGCTGAGCCCGGGTGTAGGCAATTCTTTATGCTCAGTTTCTACACCTGCTCTTCAACCTGTAATAACAGAGTTGGTTTCTATTGGTCGGCGAGGCCTCCGCCCAGCGAGCCCCTGCTGAGACTTTTATGCAAATTGGGGATTTGGAGTAGGGAGGGATGGGTTTCAGAAGTTTGCTCTGGGAGCCTAGGTTTTTCAACACACTTGTGTCTAAATCATTGTGCCAAGCTTTCTGGGCGCTTCCCCCCGCCCCCCTTCACTTTATGGTTTCTGTGCCTCTCTAGCAGAGGACAGTTCAAGCCGTGGTGGGGGTTCCTGTGTTCGTCTTAGCTGCCCTAGGCTGTATGAGGAGCAAAATAATAGCAAAATGATTCTGGAACCTATCCAGGTTTCACTGCCTGGGAAGTGCTTTACCCAAGGTAACAACAGCATCTATATAGGGTTTTATAATTTCTCCCCACACCGAATATTATTTTAGACTCACAAGAACAGCTTTGTGAAGTAGGTAGGGCAGAGTAGAGTTCGTATTTTAGTTCTCAAGGTGGCCCAAGATCTCACAGCTAATAGAGAGGAGACCCAGTCATTTTAAGACTGACCTCGGGTATTTTGACCTTTCCCTGTGTATCTCAATAAACCAGAAAGCTTAAGAAATGAAATGGAATATGCCCCTCAGAAAAATTGATGGAATAATTTAGATACACCTGGACTCTAAAGATTCAGCCAAAATTTATAATAAATCAGTTACCCGCCCCATCTTATTTACTATTAAAAATTCTCCTGTGTGATGTTGATAGGACCTAAAGTTGGTTTGAGAAAAATGATTTTTAAAGCTAATCACTTAATAATTATTACTGCTAGATCAGCATGTGTGCTTGCCTCTCTTTAAATTTATTTCTCCAACAAGCATTTATTTAAAGTCTACTGTGAAGCAAGGAGGAGCTCTCAGGCCCTGGGAGTACTATTGTTGATGGACAGATGTGAGCCCTGCCACAATCCTTGTAGTGGAGCCTACACTCACCCCCCCACCTCCATGTGCTCTCTAATGGTTCAAGTCATGCAGCAATGGGAGAACTGAAATTCAAGCATCTCTGAGCAATTGGACCACATCTTATTCTCAGGAGGACAGAGATAAAAGATACCACTCAAAGCAATCATAAATTTCTTGTGATCTTGATTTATTTCTAAAACCCATTTTGTAGTGAGGGAAAAAAACCACTATGAGTTAAAATATCAACATTATGCCAGAGAGAAAATTTACAATTTTCTTCTTCAATCAACTGATATTGGAGAGGATAATAAGTCTTCAGAAGAGAGGGTGAAAAGAGAACATATTGCAATTTAATTCTAGGCAGGAAACCTCTAACAGGAAAAAAAAAAAACAGAATAGGAAATTATACAATGTCAGGCTGTCATTCATGTTCATCATTCAACAAAAATTTATTGAGCACCTAGGTAGGCACAAGACCTACAAAAATCAGTAAGACGAAGAAGTTCCAGCCTAGGAAAATCTGTAGTCCAGGAGGGAAGACAGACACCCAAGTAAGAAACTATGATATCTGTTGACAGGGCATGTATTCAGGCCACACCAGGGTGGCCACATTGGCTGGTAGAACATTGAAATCATTCTGCATTGATTGGAAAACAGCCACTCCCCTGAATACCCATGTGCTCCTTTAGCCCCTTCCTGAGCTACCCAAATCTCAGACCTGCTATAAAAGATTTAATGCCAGGCATAGCAGAGATCCTGCAGTTCTTCTGTCCTTAGGGTTATTAGTTATTTTTAGTGATACCCCCTGCCAGCAATATGCTCTAAGGAGGCAGACAAAGGGTGCTATGAATAAACAGCCACAGGAATGAATTACGTTATAGAACACGTCCATTGAAACATTTACAGTGACGAAAATGTTTACTATCTTAGGTGAGATGTACAGGGCCAGTTCTGTACTGTTTTGTGATAGTCCCGGAAGCTTTCATGAATTAGAATTTATATATTTTATCATTTTCCTCACTGTATTAGGGAGGACTCTTGATGGCAGCTTGTAGAAACCCAGCTGAAAATGACTTAAGCCAAAGAAGAAATCTTCAGTCTATTAGCTCTTATAAGTGGGATATTATTCCAGACATTCCTAGATCCAGAACTCAAAGTCATCAGGACTTGAAGGTGGGGTGTGTGTGTGTGTGTGTGTGTGTGTGTGTGTGTATACACAAGAATTTTTCTCCATCTCCATGCTTCTGGCAATACTTTCCTGTATTGCTTTTCTATCCTGCCCGTTAGTGCCAATGTAAGCAGAACTTTTCTGCGCCCATGACCACCCACTGTAAAAGTACCTACCTGCTGTAAGTCACATGCCCGTCCAGAACCAGCCATCAACAGAGGGAGTATGATGTCAGCCAGCTCTGGGTGACATACCCAGAGTCTGGTTGTGGGGATATACACCATCTGCACCACAAGGACTAAGACTGGGGAGGAATATGTCCCCAATGAAAAGAAAAATTGAGATATTCTTACCAGAAGGAGGGGGATGATACTGCCCAAGTAGAACAAAATAATCACAACAATCTCACATCTACCAAATCTCTAACTTGAAAAATGTTTATATTTCTGATCGTAAAAGTAAACGTGCTTGTTATAGGTAATTTAGAAAAAGAACAAAACACAAATCACCCAAGATACAATTACTATAGAGTTCATTTTGGTATGTTTCTTTCAAATCTTTTTTCTCTGCTTATTGTAAAGTTTTATATTGTAAAGATTTTTATATTTGCTAGTTTTCTATCCTATTTTTTCACTCATAATAAACATTGTCCCCAGATCATTAAAAATTATTTGCAAATACAATGTATAATGGCTGTTGTAAGGTAAAAAGTATCAGGCTTTTCTGTCCTCCCGCCATTAGGATAGATGAGGGAAGCCTGTGGTCCTGAATGCATGCCTGATGGGCACCTGGAGTGGGGACACCTGGGCTGAGAGACTGAGTTTATAAGGGCGGCGTCACGGGGACGCCAGCAGAAGCCCAGAGAGAGAGAAAAACGAGAGAGCAAAGAAGCAAGTCTGCGAGAAAACGCCGGAGAACGCAGATAGAGTGAAGACAGCACCCCTGCCTGCCATGTACCCGCTAAACCCCAATAAAAGACCTGCAAAAGCCACTGAGGACTCTGACTCCTCCTTTATCTGGTCTGCTGGATCAGAAAACCTGCACTGTGCCCTACAGCTGTATAATGTTCATTTGTATATATGTACCTTAATTCTGGATATTTGATCATTTCTCTATTTTCTTCCCAGGTTTTTGTTGTTATTGTTGTTGTTTTTACTGTCAAATTAGCTGGCGATGAAAATCTTGGTGGACAAAACTGCCTCTAATTATTTATTTAGGAAAAATTCCTAGAAGCAGAATGAGTACAGCAAGGGCATAGTCCAAAGTTTGCTACTTAATTGACCTTGTTTTTTCAGTAAATATGTGTGAGTCTTTTTCCCATAAACTGGAAGAAATGAATAGATAATCCTTATTGGTGGATGTTATACTAACAGCAACCACCTCACAGTTTGTGGGGATGAAAGAAGGGAATATATGCTCTTGATTTAAGCTTCCATTCAGTATTTATTGAAAATCATCTATGTGCTGGATGTGCAACACTTGGTTCCAGGAGAGCAAAGTTAGAGAAGACACAGATGCTGCCTCCCTGGGATTTACAGTAAAAGAAGAGAGGTCCATAGAGGCTCAGAGATTCAATTGGCCCAGGCACGCCAACTGAGCCAACTACAGGGTGAAGTTTGAACACAGAGGAGCACTGAAATCACATTGTATAGTGATCCCATAAGGCACCCCAAGAGGTGGTAATTAGAATCTGAAGAATCAGGAGGAGAGGACAGCAAAGCAGCAAGAGGATGTTTAAGCAGTAGGAAGCATGTATGCAAAGGGCCTGGGGCATGAGACAGCATGTGAAGAACCACAAGTAGTGCCGTATGGGGAGGGGAGTTAGGGTCTGAAGTGTGTTGGGAGAGGGGAAGACCACAGCAATAGAAAAGTACCAGAGATGCCAAGAAATGTGAACTTCATCCTCTGAGCTTTGAAAAGTCACTAAAGGATTTTAAGCTTTAATAAGATTTACATTTTGGAAAGATAGTGGAGAATCTCAGAGAAGGATAATTTAAAAGAGGTCAACCTTGAGGTCAAAAGAAAATAGTAAGGGGTCTGACACAATGATTCATAGGCACAGTGGTGACTCCACTTAAGTTCATGGAGTTGAGAATAAGAGTGATGAGTAAGAGGGTTGCCCAGTGGACTCAGTGGGCCTTCACCACAGTAGTGTTATGGAAAGTGAGTGGGTAGAAGTCTGGGATGCTGCTCCTAATCTGGCATGAGCCTCAATGTGCTTCCCTTCAGCAAGACATGAGTGTAAATTTGTGATGGGAGGTGAAGAATTTGGAGTGGAGCCTCTTGGGTTTGAGGTGTTCATGGAC